GCAGTTCATAAACTGCAGACTATGCAATGAAACACAAAAAAAGATGTCGGTTGGGAACAGCAAGAAAAGATAGGGATATAAATGAATGTGTAAGGGCACAAACAAGAGTCTTGATTTAATTGACTGAGTAAGGAGGATAAATAGGCACTACACCGTACAAGATGCAAGACGACCGTCGCTGGATCAGAGAAGCTTCAACCTGGGCTCAAACAGAAAGTAAACCATCCGTGAGAAGACCTTCAGATCGATGGTAGGATGAGCTGAAGAAGTTCCTTAAGTTAACATGGATGAAAATGGCAGAAAACAGGCCTATGGCGAAGTCGTTGCGAGGTTTTCATCCAACAATGGAGTAACAAAGGCTGATTATGATAATCTATTACATGGACTGGCAGTTATTCAGCGAAGAATCGCACCGGCTGTAACACTCTGTGTTATCATAGCGCATGAAGCTTTGTCGCTCGCTGGCAGGTCCGACGATGACCTGGCGAATTTGGTACAGGCAGGTCCCCTAAATCGGTCCGGCTTTTATTGAGGTTTTCTCTCATAGTAACAAATCGACGTCAAACTGCAATGCATACATACATTTCCATTTCTCTTTACGTAAACAATAATCGTTTCCTCATGAGATTACTTCATTTTGATACTTTCAATGGATACTGTATTTGTGTATTGAAATAAGAAGAAATTTCCAGCATACCATGAATAAATACTAGTTAAAACTTAGAAAAGAAAAACCAATGGTTTTTGGAAGATTACCTGCCCGTATAGTTCTAGTGTCCTTGGCTTACGAAACTCACGTCGTAGAGCTTATTTCGGTGTCAGCGCTGTAAGGCAGAAATAAGTCATTTTTGAAGTAAATACCTAAGCTATATGACTAGCACTAGGTGCATATTCCTGCTTCTTTCACATGTGTAGCGACGTTCGTTCATCTGCTTGAGAATGAGATAGGATAAGTTCCGTCAAGGATTCGAAGCGACAAGGTTTTACTGTCAGTGTGTTTCTGCTAATCGAGTTGCTGTGTAATGACTTCTAAATGATGTTGCATTTTTAGCAGACCATAAAGAAACGTTCAACTAAGTTTACTCGGAATAGGGGTTTCACTTTTGGTCCATTTAATCAGTGTTTGTTTTAATCGTTTCATTCTTCGTTTCCAATTTTGATTATTGTAGAATGAAGCTCAACAAACTATGGACATATACGGGCGGCTAATATTGGTATAGCGTTTTCTTTGTTGGCTAAGTACACAGTTCACGTAGATGCATTTTCAGTCGTGGAACGACAGCCGAGTGACATGGGATAAAAAAGAGTGGGGAATATCATGGCTTAATTTCTACTGGTTGCAGATATGGACGCCGCAGCTGACGCAGACGAACGCGTAAGTCGTTTTTTTCGCTTGTGCCGACTTCGGAAGCGGTAGGCAATTAATCACTTCAGCGATATAGTTTTTAAGCTATTTAAAAAAATGTCCTTACAGTCCTTTCCTTTTGTTTTGAAAATTTTAAATTAGTTATTACAAACAGGCTAACTCATGTTTTGACTGGACACGTAACCCAGTTTCAAAGATGCGTCAGCTCTGTCTATTTTCTCAGCCAGAAGGTATTCTTTGACAGTAGTGCTTACTGACGCGCATTTCGCAGGATAATTCAGTAAATGTTTCCTCTTGTAGGTTAAATTTTTTTTTAAATGCACCTTTACAACCTGTGCTGATTTTTAGTCAGCTGATAGGTGGGACAAGTCGAACGTCAGCTGTCAGGCGCCCTCTTCCGACAGCATGGCTATTTATCTCGCACGTTTTGGCATGACTACGCGAAAGCTGCTCCTCTTATTTGTAGGTCAGCTACCTGATGCCCGTTTTTCAGCTGGTTGCTTCGAAGCACAGTGAGGCGAATTCTCTGCTTAAAAAAATCAGCACAGCTGAGAAGATTTACGTAGAGCATAGGGTTTGAATCGGCATCTTTAACGCCCAGTGCGTTACCGTCGTTCCCTCACCATTAAAGTTTCCTGGTCTGCAGGTAGTTGTAGTGGCAATGCTGCTACGCGCATTAAATGACAGAGGGTAAGATTTACCTTCAAAACCCGTATTACCAACAGAACAGCTGGACGATTTCTTCACACATCTGTTATACAGTGACCTAGACCTAATGACGCAGCTGACAAACTAACGGTCGTTTTCAACCGGTCTGAACAAAAACACGTAACCTGCTATGGAAGACAATGAGCTAATTCATTCTATGTGTTTGGAACATGATGACCGATCGATATCTGTCATCGAACGAACCAGCAGAATGAAACAAATGAACTGATAAAAACTGAAACCTTTTTGGGAATTAACAGTTGGCTTTATAAGGTGTCAAGTGACAGAAGATGGCCTCTCTAACTTCAGCACGTCCAAACTTTTAAATGTGTAGTTAAACCTTGACAACTGCTAAATTCAGAACGATTTATCCTTTACATACTTGAAAGCACGGAATTTTAACTTAAGCCAAGTAAGTATTCTTATAAGATAAACGGGAAAATGCAGCGTTTAGATTCCAATCATTTGTCCACAGTTTTTCTCTGCAATGAGACTGCATTCGGGCTTGTGATACCACTCAGGCGTTGCTGGACAGCAATGTAACTACTTTTAGACTTTCCTACGCCGCTACCACTCGAAATCGGCACTAGAAGAAGTTCGATCTACTTTAAAAATAGGAAATTCACAGATGCAAGATGGTTCATGAGATAAACCGCTATCCGGTTTACCGCTACAAAAATTAATTGCTTTGGTTATGTGACGTTCGCGTCATATGATTCAGCCGGAATTCGACCGGATCTTAAAACGAACGGTTTCTGCCGGAGACTGTCTAACCTGTTTATGCTTAACCTTTTGAGGACGCAATTTCCTGACATTGTACTAAGTTTCGCGACTTCCAGAAATTGCTGATTTGGCCAACGACTGAACGTCTGTATTTCTTGCCTCAGAACTTTAACTCGCTCCAATAACTAAGGGAAAATCATCAAAAAACTTCTTGTCCTCTTAAAGTACGTGGGAAAAATTGCCGTGGTTCTCAAAACTGCGATGTCCCGTAGTATCTGAATCGTTAAGATTTCAAAAGAAACCACTTTAAGTGTCTTGTGTACTTTTTGCTGATGCAGCGCACAGCAGTAAACACCTGCTAATTTGACGAAGGAATGTTACCGAACAAAATAAAATTTTAAATAAATTCTTGTCGTTTAAAAGTAATGAGGCTTTCACATGGAACCATCTTTTTCAGCAATGCAAATGTAGTGCTTTACCCTTACTGCCTTCCATGCAAGGAAGGGCTCTGAATAGATAGCGGAAGACGTAAATGAAAGAATTCGCTACATACTACGGAGAAGTATAAAATCAGTACTGCGAGAAGTTTCAGCTTCTTTGCGCAATTGGTCTAACGTGGACCCTGCTCCATGCGGTAATAATGATGTAGTTTAAAATATTTCAAAACCTTCAGGAGTGAATTTTACATCGGAAAATAAAAATTGTACAAAACAATCAACGGACGTGTAAATATTAAAATCAACTATCTTATTCAGCAGAATGACGCTTATGATAAAGATAAATCGATCCAGGCAAGCTGTCCGCATCGTACGGACGTTCCCGATGGAAAATTCTGCAGTTATTTTTGGCTACTGCTGTCGAGTGAACCTGGAGCCTCTTGATCGAGGAAGATCGTACGCATAATAAATGAACATAAATTCACATGTAATATACAACGAACAAGAAATACACGGGAAAATCGAGAAAGTATCTGCTGAGCTGTTGGATCGATTTATCGCAACGCGACACTGCCATTTCACTCTGCGAGAAAAGATCACCGAATGCACGCAGTAATTTAACCTAAGGTGGTTCTGTAAAAATAATACTTTTGCCTGCTTTACGAAGAGCTCGAAAGAATGTTCCAAACCGTTGATCTGTTGGAAACTGTTCTTATTAGACAGCGAGCGCCCCTCTACGCCCCCTCCTCATCCCACGAAGACCCAGTTTAAAAAAAGCAAAGGACTTACGATGAGTGACCTCGATAAGTGTGCATCGAAGAGTGTTAGAAATAAGTGTCGCCAGTTCTAATGACCACATCAGGGCTCCAACTCTTCTTACTCTAAGATTTTCTGATTTTAAAGAATAGGTTCTACGGTTTAAACGAAGAAAATAACGAAAGTCAGTGTCTAGCAGAAAAAAAGAGTAAAATGGAACAATATTTAAAATGAAAAAAAAAGTAGCAAAGCACCGTAACAGAATTATCACAACTCTCGTATGCGAGAACAGCATTTATCACGATCAAGATTAGGTTTGTCTAAAGTTATAAGAAAACGAGAACAGAGATAAAACAGATAAGTAAACAAAACGGAACAAGAATAGAAATACAGCAAAGAAAAAAGAACAAACGGAACAAAGCAAGAAACGTGAGTCCAGACATAGAATTTTCATTAAAAATACCCACTGAACATGGATGTTTGATTTGGGCTGAAGCTGAATTCGTGCACATAAAGTTAAGTACCTAAATGTAGAGCGGGTAGTGATAATCATCGCGAGATGTTTCCAGTTAAAGCGTGAGTTTGCTCCTACCCAGGGCATTATCATCCGTACGAATTCCGTCAGAAACAGCCTGATTAATGACATAGAAAATTAGGTAGTTCAGAACCAAGTCGTTCTCGAATCTCGAAAGAAGTCGCAAGGGTATTTCAGAAACGCATGTGCACAAACTAGGCAAGGCAGTGAGCGATGCGTCGTGTGCTATTACAAAAACATGTTGTGATGGCATGACTGGTGGACGTAAAAGTTATTGCATTTCTTAGCAAAAGAAGAAGCTGTGGAACAGTTCTAGTCAACAGTCAGTAACTTAACCTGTTTATGTATATTGTGAAGAGCACAACGTACTTTCTATCAGGAATATCTATTTTTAGGTTGGTTACCAATCAGCAAAGTATAGTCTCTATTTCGCAGTGGGTAATGTAAATTTTTACGAGTTTAACATACATCTTCCAGTACGTAAAACCGATGAAATATCACGGCGCTATTGCCTTCAATAGTGAAATTAAAGCAAACGACGCGATACTTCAACGTTATAGACACATTAGGTCAGACAGTAAAATGCAATGTCATCTCGGTGTTTGTGGGTCGACGGCCATACCCACAGTCAATTATTGGTACTGCACGTTGCTTTCGTTACGACGCGCATCTTTCAGTGTAAATTACGGTATTTTGGTATGTACGCATTATGCCAGTACAGAGAAAATAGTACTACAAGCCTGTCGTAATGGCGCGAAATCACAGAAAATACGAAAGCTGCACTGGGAGGATAGCATCCAGAAATGAACAGCAGAGCAGCTCATCTTTTCTCCAGTGAGCATCACATAAAGCTAGCAAATTTCATGGCTGAAATAAAACCCAGGACTGAAAACAGCATCAAGATCACGCAAAATCTTTTCGCAACTGCCTGGGTCCATGTAAAATGGTAACTTAAAAGTATGCCAAGAAAAAAATAACAGTATTACTGGTTCCACATCATCACCAGCATTTAACAGTCCATTTGACATCGAGGTCATGTGACAACTGAAAGAGGGACTGGATCTGAGGGAGAAAACTTGTAAAAAAAATTGTGCGCGCAAACTTGGCAAAACGAGAATTTCGAGACGTTATTCAGCTTTGCGGTAGTTTTCGTGCATTCTGGGTTTCAGCAAGATTGAAAGAGTCGTTACGAACAATAAAGAAATCTCTTGACGAACGCGTGGCCTCGCGAAACATTCATCATTAGAGTAGAAACTGAAAGGAACAGCAGATACGTTAAAGTACTCTTATCATGTGCAAGTACATACGGTGGTATATGAAGAAAGATAAACCTCTTAAATGGCTACACAGCAGAGACCTATAACTTAACCGTTGTATTCACTACTGAATTTAAGTTGTTACTGCTTTTACGAAATGTCACACGAGTGCAGTTCTCAGTGCAGTGAGGGGAAAAAGCTAGCGTTTTGTCATTTTTCAATGAAAATGAGGTTATTCTGCATTGCCCATAGTTAGATTCGAGGCTTTTGACGAGAAGTGAGAGCGGACGTATTAGCTTTAAATAACCAGTGCGACAGCGGTAAGAACGTCAGAATTACTGTCGATCAGAAATCCCCAAAATGTAACATGTAACGCAATCCCTAAAACGTGCATGCCTGTCCCATCTTGACCCATTTGCATAAACAGAACGTCTCTGGTTTGTGATGCCAGCTGTATTCGCAGCATTACAACACTTTTGCAACAAGGCACCGGCTGCTGCATCCTAGAAGAAAAGATCATAGCAGATCCTCTACTTTGTTCCTCCATGTTACTTGCTGGCCACCCAGTCAATATTTGCCGTTTCGGCTCTCACGCATTGTAGCAAACAAATGATTTTTGTTCAGCCAGTTTTTCTGACAGCGACAAACTCCATTTCTTAATCTGCGCATCTACTGAAGTCACGTTTGTGCGGAATATGGTAGATCTTTCCTTACACGGTCCTGATATGTAGCGGTGGTTGTGCGACAAATCCAACTTTCCTGTACGCGGTTCAGCTATCGTTCTAACTCGCTTGCTGGAACAACTGTCTCCCTAAGCTACAACGTAGCATGCATATAGAAACCTAGAGATTTCCCACACTCCTTTTTGCCTCTGGAAGGTTTCTTCATCCTATATCATACGTAGGCATGCATCTGTTCCACAAAATTCATGACATATGCTAAAGTTTACCTGTAAATTTGTAAAATATTGTTGAATTTTCATGTGTCCCATACAGTGCATCTGAATACCCTTACTGAACAATAAATTAAATTATAGTGATACAGGCTGAACAAAGAAACAACTCTTGCAACAAGTTGTTTTCATGATAAATAAATGCCATACCTGTCAGAAGGCAAGGCTAGTCCGTGAAGTGATCCATCCACGATCAGAAGAGGCATATATTTCTAAAAGCGATTTCCGTAAGATATTCCAAGAACTAAAATCAAGTTTACCTTTACAGTGGACAGCGGCCACCTATTGCTCCATGGTCGAAACACTGTAATATAATAGTCTTCGTACATAATCTACATTAAGTACGTTGTTTCCTTGTTTGAACATATAAAGCGAAATGCGGAAACTTTGTATGGGCAGACTTCTAACAAAAGGTTCGAAATTCATACAGCCGCTGCGGCAGACGACCTGAGATTCTCCCGCAACTGTGAAGACTTGTGACTCAGATAGTTCCAGAAGGTCATCTTCTAGACAGAGAGATGACAAGGTACCTCGGCAAAATCATCCACATCGTTTAGATGTCACATTTTCACAGCAACCATATGTTCTTCCTCTGCAAAAAAGAAGTATCGATGGCGTTAAGTGATCTGGTGTGTCGGATTCGATCATATTTGATAAGGCCATCACAAAAGAATAGTTCATAGTGTCTTGAGGCAGTGAAGACGAGGGAATCGTCATTCAGTTGCTGCTGCTACAGCAAAGTCCTATTAATCAGCTGAAATAAGGGCTGCTTAATGTGAACACTTCCCTAAGAAAGTAGAATTAAGTGTAATGCCTGAAAGATTACGTTTGCTGGAAATTAAACTAAAACGTAACAAAAATGGATTCGATAAAAATTGAAGCATAGACCCACAAGGTGGTGCATTTAAATATCCTATTTAAATATGGTCTACTGGTACGCATTTATTTTTGAAATATGCAAAGTTCCCTTTACCAAAGAGATATCGCTTATTTGATAGATGTTTTTATAACCCAGTAATGGCCAAGTAAACTCCTCAGGACGTCCAACTGACTCTTTGATTTACGTCCTTGCATGTTCTGATTTAATTTCGAATTTAACTAAATTTTTGCATTAATTTAATGTTTCATATGAACTTGATGATAGTCGTTCATTCATAGATATTTTATTGATGTATTCAATGCTCATTCATTCAATCTCTGCTGCATATAAAAACTGTAAAACAGCTACATCTTTCAACAAAGAGTATTCAGCAGATCATCATTGATTTTAAATTGACTTAACATTAAGGGAACTGTAGATCTTGTGTGAGATTCTGTTCAGATGTTTCAAATGACGGAGTTTTGTATAGCTTGGGAATGTAAATGATTTGCCAGAATAAATCATCCATTCATTGGATTTATTTTACCTTCCTGGCACAAAATTAATCATTCATTTATTCATCTAATCTTTGGTTTGACAAAACAACATGGCATGAATGTAACTGAAGATGTATATTCTGTACACTTTTGTTCTGACGTTTTCGGCGCTTTCTGATATTCTACTTTTCATTGACTAAATGGCGGGTGATAATTTCCACTGCCATGCCGTAAATGACGAATGCTTTACGTTTAAAAAGAAGCAGACAGGCGACAGCAGTCATGTCACAAGCATGGCGTCTAGTCTTAATCTCAGAATGGAAGAATAACGAGTGACCAAACTGTGGCTCAAACTCAAGATTTCTGGCTTCTGATCAGACGCTCTACCGCCGTCGTAACCCTGGCCAAAGTATCATTCCATGCAGTAAATCCAGTTAACGCAGACAGCTTTTGAAATGCGCGTTTACCAAATAATAACGTATTTCACTAACTGAGGTTCAATCAATAAATTAATATATGTAAATAATGATTCGATTTTTTGCTGGTATAAAGGAATCTTTTAGACCAGCAACAAAAGAAAGCGAGATCAAGAGCAAGGTGTTGGGTGCAAACTCTGCGGGTAACATCTTCATGTGGCTGGACTTCAGTTTAAGCGTGCTGACCGACTTCGACTACTCGCGGTTTCCATTTGATCAACAGAGAGGCTGTTTTAAAGTGGACGACAAGCGCCACTTCGCAGTTCACCTGAAGCTCGACAGTAACGCTGGCGAGTTCGCTAGGAACTCGCTTCAAGGGCTGCACCCGGCCCGATGGGACGTCGTCGACATCGAACTACTGGAAAACCAGTTTTCCTTAAAAGTACTGCAAAACGACGTACCGGTCGACGCCATATCCTCGAACCTCGACATCTGTGTCACTCTGAAGCGAGACACGTCGTACATCGGTCTCGCCGTGATCGGTCCTTGCATAGCAACCGCCCTCATCACCATGATGTCATTTATGGCTAGCAAATATTGGAATCAGATCGTTACCCTTATCGCCAGTATCGGATTGCAGATCATCTCCGCGCATTCTTTTATTTCTGAGCTGCCGCCCGCTTCCGGCGTTGCACCCCCTTTCGGTAAATATGTTCTGTTTTAATGCAATCACGATATAATCTAGTTGTCTGACGTTTTAGTGAAATTCTGCTCATTTAACCTGGCCCTCACTTGTATTCTGCTGATTCTCTTCGGTCTTCTGTCATTCCTCACTTCGCTGAAGCATGCGCTACCGCCTCCAAATTGGATATCGAGGCCGATCAGTTTCATTTGTACATTTTGTCCGTTTTTTGGAAAGCAAAGCGACCAAGTGAAGCTTGGAGAAGACGGCACGGTAACGATTAATGAACAAACGACGCCACCGACCTATCAAAGCCCGTGGGATTCCGTGGGGAAATCCATCAAGATCTTCTTTTTTATCGCAACATTTTCCTTGTACGTTTTGGCTATCCTGATTTCGTTCTCGTCATAAACGAAAAGTGCAGCATCAGCTAACACTAAGTGCTGACTTATGCTTAACAGATCTGTGAATATTTCCTCTGCTGTGAATTTGTTTTTATTTGTATTTTCATTATGGGTTGTTTTTTGCTAATTCAGTAAAAATTTAGCTGTAGGGTCGAACCTTATACGTGCGGCTGGTTTATCTTTATTCTAAGACACTAGTGTATTCATCACCTGTGAACTATTGCTTTTCAGCTCCAACTGCTTCGCATCTCCGAAGCTACGACTTTCTCACGTTTCACATCCACATCTGCTGTGATCACAAGTCAGTCCCGATGCCTGGCTTAGCCAAGGGTCTGTCATCATCCTGATCAATCGTCCCTTCCATGATCCAGACATGACTGTTCGACTTGCCTTTCAGTTCCTTTTCCACACAGGTCTCGTGCACTGAGAACAACGCTTGAGATTTCGTGCTATATTGTTGTCGAACATGGAAAGTTTTCAAATCGCAGATTTCGTTCAAAAGAAAACTTATATATGTCTATGCCCTTCAACTTTCTTTCAGTAGCATTTCTCTTGTTATCTAAAAGTTAAAATGGTCACGAAGGCTTTTTGCTAATTACAACTATTATGCTGTTCCTGAATTGGAAAAAAAACCTAAGTAGCAGTGCAGCGAGATGAGCAGAGTTAAAAAATTCTTTGTTTCAGTAACTTGTGTCTAATATTATGCTAGTACTGTTGTTTCTCACATTGTGTGTTTTCTAAAGACGTGATTTTAATGTTCACGATGGGACAGCTAAATTTTCCCAACCTTTGCATTATATTAGACTGACCAGTATCATTATCAGCCTTTTTTGATCCACTGTTGGATGAACAACTCAAGACTTATATATAAAATTCTGTTTTCCGTGAATCTTATGCACCTTGATCTAGGGTGCATCTTCAGCTCATCCTCCATTTATCTGACGGTCTTCCTAAGGTTCCTTCGAAATTTTTCTCTTGAAATACAAAAAGAAAATGCCTAATGCCTCTGCTCCAGCCATTACCAGTTATTTTTACAACATGACTTTTGCCCTTTTCAGAGCCTTTTAATTTCCTCATTCGGACAATGACATCGCAGAGTCATTAATCGTCTTCTTATTATTTCTTGTTATTTTCTATATACTAGCATGACCAATACCCTACTTCGTAATTATAGTAACAGTTGAACTCTGATGTATCATTTCTGATTCAACCATTGTCTCAATGTGATCTCAGACCCAACGAAGGACCTTGAAAAAGCCTATCGATCGAAACGATTGATGGTAAACAATGGTCTTTCCCCCTGCTTTTAAAATACCAATTTTTGTATACCTTTCTTCTCCTGTTACTTCACATTTATATGCAATAGACGTGAAGAAAATTAAAATAAAATAACAACAGAAAGATTCATTCACTTACATGGCCAATTCTTCATTTCAGCTCGCTGTGACAAAAAATTCTAGACGTGTTTTGTAGTCAACCTGGTATGGCCAAGGACGCGATCTCTGCATACTAAATTTAAACGTGTGAAAATCGCAAAAGTTTTAGTGGAACAGAACAAGAATGAGTTACAAAGGCATATTCACAGTGATAGATAACGAAGTTATTTATGCTTTGAACAACTATTTCCGTCTGTCTCCCCGTAAAGGGGTTATGATAAAGCCGCT